TCACTGCTCCTGCCCCTATTCAGGTCATGACTTTGGCTCCACTCTCATCTTGGGCTGCAACTTTGGCTCTGGCCTCATTTCAAGCCACAAGTTTGGCTCCAGCCCCATATCAGGCTGCAATTTCAAACCCATCTCGAGCTGCAACATCAGCAGTGGTACCATTTGTGCTGCATTTCAGCTCTGGCCCAATCTCAGGCCCCTATTTGAGTTGTTAATTTGTCCCTTTCCACATCTTGAGATGTTACTTTGCCTCTGGCAGAAATCTTGGGCCATGACTTCAGCTCTAGCCCCATCTCTGAAGCTCTTCAGCTTCATTCCAATTTCAGCTCCAGATCCATCTTGGGCCTCTGGCTCAGGTTTGGCCTAATACTGTGTCACTTCTTCAGCTCCAGTGCCTGCTCAGCCTGCAGCTTCACCTCCAACAGTACCTCCAGTGGCTATCTGGGCAGCAACATAGGCTCTGGCCTCACGTCTGGCCATGGCTTTTGTTCCAGACAACGAGTTATGACTTTGGCTCTGACACTACCTCAGGTGGCAACTGCTGCTCTGGCCTGATACTGAGCTGTGATTTTTGCTCCACGGAATCATCTAGGTTGGAAAAGACCTTGAAGATCATGTAGTCCAACCACTGACCTAACATTTCCAGTTCCCAACTACATCAGATCCCTCAGTGCTATGTTGACCCAACTCTTAAACACCTCCAGGGATGGGGACTCTACCACCTCCCTGGGCAGCCCATTCCAACGCCTAACAACCTGTTCTGTAAAGAAATACTTCCTAATAGCCAGTCTAAACGTTCCCTGGCACAACTTGAGGCCATTTCCTCTTGTCCTATTACTTACTACTTGGTTAAAGAGACTCATCCCCAGCTCTCCACAACCTCCTCTCAGGTAGCTGTAGAGGGCGATGAGGTCTCCCCTCAGCCTCCTCTTCTCCAGACTAAACACCCCCAGTTCCCTCAGCCGCTCCCCGTACGACCTGTGCTCCAGACCCTGCACCAGCTCCGTTGCCCTTCTCTGGACACACTCGAGTCATTCAATGTCCTTTTTGTAGTGAGGGGCCCAAAACTGAACACAGGAATCGAGGGGCGGCCTCACCAGTGCCCAGTACAGGGGTCAGATCCCTTCCCTGTCCCTGCTGGCCACGCTATTGCTGACACAAGCCAGGATGCCATTGGCCTTCTTGGCCACCTGGGCACACTGCTGGCTCCTGTTCAGCCGGCTGTCAATCAAGCCCCCCAGGTCCCTCTCTGACTGGCAGCTCTCCAGCCACTGCTCCCCAAGCCTGTAGCGCTGCTGGGGGTTGTTGTGGCCCAAGGGCAGCCCCCGGCATTTGGCCTTATTGAATCTCCTCCAGTTGGGCTCAGCCCATGGCTCCAGTCTGTCCAGGTCTTTTGGGCTGTGACTTCAGCTCTGGCCACACATGTATCTGCAACATCATCTCCAGCCTGATATTGGGCCATGACTTCAGCTCCAGCCTCTGCTTGGGCTCTCAGGACTAATCTGGCTCCTGCCTGGTACTTGACTTCTGCTCCAGTGCTATCTTGAGCTGTGACTTCATGTCCTGACCAGTATCAGGAAGCAGCTTTGGCTCTGGCCCATGCTCAGGCTGCAGCTTTGACCCTGGTGTCAAATCAAGCCTTGACATAAGTCAAGGTATTGGGATGAGACTTCAGCTCCTGCCTAATCTTGGGCAGCAATGTTGGCTCTGGCCCCACCTCAGGTTACTCTTTGGGTTCCAGCCCCATCTTCAGCAGTGACTTCTGCTCCAAACAATGCTTGGGCTGAAACTTTGGCTCCTGCCCCTGTTTTGGTCATACCTTTGGCTCTGGTTGTCATTCGGGCATATTTTTTTGCCTTCAGTCCCATCTTGGGCTCTTAATTTAGCTCCAGGCTTTGCCTCTACCTCTTGCTCATGCTACTACTTCACCTCTGGCATGTCAGGCCATGACTTTGAACTCCTGCTTGAGTGGTCACTTGGCTTGGGCCCTTCCTTACACAGGCTGCATCTTTAGCTCCATCTTGGGCCACTACTTCTGCTCCATTTTTTTTCCAGGTTGCTACTTTGGCTCTGGCTCTATCCTGGGATGTGACTCCGGCTCTAGCCACTCATCTCAGGCTCTAACTTTGTCTGTAAAAGGACAGCCCTTGCCCATGAGGATGATGAGCTGCCAGGGGAAGAAGGCAGCCCCTCTAGCACTGACTAGGTGGGTTAGCAGGCAACTGAAGATGTTCCTGGGCTTTTCACTCACCAAGGACTGGGAACAACTTGGGGAGCTCGGCTGGGCACTCCCTTGCTCAGGTCACTCACTGGCTGCCTCAATGCCAGCTCTAGGTGCTGCGGCCAAACTGCTTTCCCAGGTTGTGGCACCTGCTTCTCAGTTCCTTCTGTGCTGCCAAGAGCACCCACTGATGCTGCACCACCTTGAGGGACACCTCTGCCTCACAGAAGTGTGCCAACTGTGCTGGGCACCAATAAGAAGAGACCCTGTGTTGTCCCCAGGCACCCCCTTTCAGAACAGTCCTGGTACACTGCCTCACCAAAGGGGGACAGACGCTGGTTTCCAGCCATGCACACTCACACTAGGTCTTACTCTCAGTAATGAGCGACACACCCTAGTATTCTGGCAAAAGCTACAGAAATAAGCAAGATACAAGGATGAAAGTCAACTTTATCCTACAGTTGAAATTGCGGTGTAGCTTGGTAGGCGCTGGGCACCCTGTTGCCTAGCGTTGTTCATTCTCTGGGTGGCCCAGGAACTCCCCAGCTGGCCTCTGCACTAATGAGGCAATGCATTGATCCAGATGAGGCCAGCTTGAGAGGAGGTCACCAGTACAACCAGGCATTTGCTAATTGTCACTGAAGCTCTCCAGGTCAGATTTTTGAAGTCTTGAAGATTTCCCCTCTCGTTTTGTGTAGATCAATCCACAGGCATAACTGACGCTTTATTAATTGACATCTTGGGTGAAGAATGTGGCTGTCCCAGAAACTCTTCAAGGTTGTTCATGCTGCAAAATTGACCAAACAATAGAGAGATGAGGGTCTTGACAATAGCCACTATAAGCTGTTCCTGCAGCTGCAGAAATGATTACATAGGACAATCCACTACACATAGTTAAGAGACATCTTTTGTACTTTGCATTGGTAGTGAGGGATCACTTGAGCTCTGGAACCGGTCACAGGCCAACTGGATAGGAGTATCAAAAGGGTGTGTCTGCATAATGAACAAGTTCTAACATGCCTGGGGGCTACAGACCCATCCAAGGACACCAAAGTGCCCCTGTGCGACCCCTGCCACGTGCAGAGGTGAATCTTGTGAGCTGCACCAAAAGGTTCTCTCCCATCTGCCCCTAGACTGAGAGGAAGACTATGCAATATTACGGGGGCAGACTTCGGGCTTTGCAGGCTGCCTCAGGACACAGGCAAACAATGTCCATACAAATGGGCAGATGCCAACATCAGAAGAATGTACACTAAAATAGAAAGAAGAAAAAAAAAAAAAAATCTATCCAATCCTACAGTAGTGCTCATCTCAACAGTGTAAGAATTCACAGAATTATTTTTTTAATAATATTTATCAGAAACATGGCACTTTACATTGTCAGGGCACTGAATATACAATGATTATTCCTCACAGCATCCCTGTGAGGTAGACATTAGATTGTAGTTACTAATTGACATGTGGACAGAGGCAGTAAGTATGTAATCAATCCTGCACAATTAAGTTAATGAAGTTCAACTCAGACATGGAAAGGCCCTCAGTGACTTGACTGAAAACATGAGTGGGGCAGAGTTAATACTTTATCAGCTGTATTCTTTTATTCTAGTCAATTAACAATGCTCAGGGTCTAACTGTCCCATATCCCCCTGAAAAAACACACCTTGGTTTAAAAAAGATACACATGCAGAGAGTTGCTACAAAGTGAGATCTGCAACAGGAATTTGGAAAAAGACCCTTAAATTTAGCCTACATTTGACTAAAACCATGAGAGAAATTTGCCTGCCTAGTCAAATAGAACAGTTTCAACTTTAGTCCTTTATGACATCACTGAGACAGCATTTCAGCCTTCACCTATGAGTAAGTATTTGCTTGAGTTAAGAAAGTCTAGGGAAAAAAAGTCTGGTAGACCATGATCACTGTCTCAGAAGTTATGCTTATTTTAGTTAAGTTGTTCTACTGAAGTCTGAGGGATTCTTGAAAAGGAGGAGAATCTTTTGGGTTTAATGACTTCTGTATGTTTAAAAAGCCCCTTAGTACACCGATTTCTCAAGTAAACTTCTATTTCAGAATTTTTTTCTTCTGAAAATGGAATAGAACAGTTTTGTAAACTTTAACATAATAAGCCCCCCAAGTTTTTAATATACAATAATTAATTTCATTTAATAACTTTCTACTGTAAATCAACTTTAGGAAAGTATACTTGACAGTATGGCTACTGTGATTAACTCATCTTCTTATAGCTTTCAATCAAGATTTCTGATAATATACACTGTCCAAGAAAGAGTCGTAGGTCTCAACCTGTAAACTACCACAGCTCAGCTGAAGTCAATGTAGGCATTATAATTCATTCAGACTGAGTAGCTAATCCTTGGATTCCTTCATGTGCAGTGTCAGTGATAATGGTCTATCTCCAAGTTGAGAGATGAGACAGGCCTGGGTCCACATACTCTGAAAACCACAATACGTTGCTTTTCCCAGTAGACAAATGTTAATTTCATATAATGGAAGAGTCAGTCTAATGGAATAATGGCTGTGCAGTATGTTGGAAGAATAAAGTAGTGGCTTTTGGAAGAAACCATCTTCATTTTGGCAGGGGCCGAGGGTAAGACGGAAGAGTATCCGTCAACACTATTACCAATGGACACACAAACTTCTGAGATTCTCTTTTCCTTCTGTAAATTCAAATTTTGTCACAACCCCACCCCCAAGGAACTTTAATCTTGGTGAATATACAGGACTTTTAAATCCACTGAGCAATTGTAGTCTCTAGATTGGGAGGGGTTGAAAAAACCTCAGAAGTGCACTTTGTATATCCTGCCTCAGAAAGGGTTAAAGTGCAAGTTTGATATATCAAAAAATTAAGCATTTCTTAGTCCTTTATCTTTTTAAATGAAACTTTATCTTTGGTTTCCTGTATCTTCTCCGTAATTTTATCCTTTGTCTCTTCCATCTTCTCTGTAATTTTATCCTTTGTTTCCTCCATCTTCTCCGTAATTTTATCCTTTGTTTCCTCCATCCTATCTTGCAGATATTCCTTTACTGGTGGTGGTGTGGACATGTAGCCATTCTTACGTAGATATTTAACAGTGATGGACGTTCCTCCCAAAGTCACAGTGTATCTGGCCGGAGTTGCAATCTTAAAAGACACAGGAGAATACACCACATTAATAAAACAGGACAATATAATCTAGCAAAAGATATTTTCAATATTGAGAATTTTTTTTGGCCAGTGTCAGATACTAAAAAGATCATCTGTTTATAAGGAAATAAGCCAATTTACAGTGCAACGCCCAGAAATGTATATCTTTTACTTGAAGTATCCTTTTAACAAAACCAGCACAGGCATTAGACTTCAATTTAAAAAAACCTCCCCGTGCAGCTTGTGGGATGAATATTAAGCAACTCATATCAGAGAGTATGTGAACACTGAGCCATATAAGCAAAGAGGAAATACAAGATATGCTTTAAACTCTAAAATTCACAAGAGTATAGACATCTTTCAGTATAAAACTAGGACCTGCACATAAAAAAACTAGAGCTAAGAGAGACCTTAGGAGGTCAGCTAGTCCAAGACACAACAAACCAGGTTTGTTATTCTAGACAGACTAACCTGTTCTTTCAGAACTTCAAAGATGAAGCCTGCACAATCTTCCCTTTTCAACCTATTTCAGGGTGCTTCCACATCTTGAAAGTTTCTTCCAACACTACCCGATCTCCCAGCTATAATAAAATCTTTATACTTAACCACATTTATTTATTGGTCTTTTAGGCACAGGATTAATTGGCAAGAGTAGCACTTCCACATTTTGTTTGGAAAAATAACCCCTTTAAATAACAGCTAAGAAGCACATCATATCTGGAAACAAAACAGGTAAGTGGCATTCAAAGTGAATACAGTACTTAGATGGACTGTGCATATAAAGCAGTAAAAAGAGACCCACACCTGAATGTAAGTAACAGATTCAAATGGACAATGAAAGTACTTGACAGTGATAGAGACTAAGATAGGAAGACAAATTAGTGAATCCTGTAGGATAAAAATAACCGTACTTTTATCTGGAAATCATGAGGTGTTTAGACTTTACCTCTTTATCCCTGTTAATTATGTCAGGGATACAGAGGAATAACTTAACTGTAATTAAATCTCTGAGGGCAGACAACAGTTCTGCAGCAAATAAGTTATTTCAGAAATACAGATAGACTCCTTAAAGGAACACAGAGCCCCTATCAACTTGCATATGACTTTTTACTACAAAAATGAATGCTCAAGTATGTGCAACTATCAAAGAAAGAAAACAGCATTAATTCTTTCAGCTATAAACAAATAAACCCTGTTTGGTTCACCAGGCAAGATCTAGAGCTTATTTACAAACTATAATTATACTTACTTTATACAATGCATATGCAGTTAGTGCATTTCCACTCTGGGAATTTTTCAGGATGTTTACTATGCTGTCTGGTAAGCCAATCAACTCTAGGAACGGAACAACATTCACTCCTCTGTAACAGAGAAAACAATTGGCAACTAAATTGGAATTTGAAACCTGAACAGTGATTTACAGTACCATTTTTGTTCTTTATTATACAAACTCTTTAATTTGATAGCAAAGTAGTTTTTCATCTAAGCAAAGTACTCACAGGATTTGTATTTCTGCACATATAGGCAAATTAATGTTTTTTTCAGCATTCCAAGAGGTGACCCGTTTATATTATCTCTGTTGGGCTGAGTAGCTACTAACTTACCTGTGTTCTAGTTTATTATGTTTGGAGGCAAGTAGATGAATGGTGGTAAGACAGCTACTCAGGCTCCGGTTGTGCAGGTTCAACTTCATGTTCTCGTTTCCCTAAAACAACTACTTTTAAAAATTTCAGACTAATCTGCAGCATGCCCAGAAGCATCAGTACTTCAGTGTCCTCCATTCACTTTAAATATATCAAACAAATGGAATGTGGCAAAAGAAAAGTAAGCAACATATTATATTCAGGGGTTTGTGCCCATGTTGTTCTACTTTACCAATATAAGGTGCCAGGATGGGTGGAGGGAGCTCCTATCACAATTTCTTTCTATTTGAAAACCAGGGAAGCTAACATCAGCACCAAAGAAAAAAAAACAAAGTGCCCATCTTCACATTACAGTAGAACACTACATGCAGTTATAGAAGACCCAACTTTCCAATATTTAGAGATGTTATATTAGTAGTATACTTATTGATTTCTACCTAATATTTTAAGCATTCTTCTGTACATGTGATTATTTCAGTATTGGGAAAAATAACAGGCAGTAATTTACCATGTTACTAGAACCTACAATCTGAACACCTATCCCCAAAGTAGAAAATGTAGACCTAGTAAGATCTGAAAGACAGCATTAACTGTTATTTCATAAACTACCATTTTTAGTCCTATATCACAAGCAGTCATTCTGAAAGTCATTTTTCCACTTCAAGGGGCTGCTGCTCCTGTGGCATGACAAACTGAAGCTTTGTTAGAATTAGTTTCTAGTAAAATATTTCAGTTGTTTTCATCTGACAAATACCTATTTTAGCAGCTAACTTAAGTGTTTCAAGAAAAGTAATCTTCACTCAATCTGTAATGTCTGGAGTAAGCATCGACTTGAATTTGTCTAAAGTAAAATATTTTTATAACTCAAGACCTTTATTCCTCTGACATGAGCTAAATTTAGAATGACATTTGGATCTATAGCTCCTAGAAAGGGCAATTATGCCAGCTGGTTAGAGTAACTAAAACAAACAAACGTGCGGTAAGTCATTCTGGTGTCAAAGCCCCATTCTTGCCACCATGAACTGTCATTGTGTCATGCTATTACTAAATATACAACACTAGCAATCCAGAGATAATAATTTACTCGTATTTAGCAAACGATTTGCAGATAGATCTTAATCTTTTAGATCCATAAACCTCTTTCATCTGAACTAACAGCTCCTAGCTGATATAGTAGCTTCTTTCTAATAAATGCCATTATCTGGCACATGCTATAGCTGAAAGAAACTAAAATTAGAATACTTAATTTAACTTTTTTTTAGCCACACAGATATATAATTTCCAATTAAAAGATCTGGTCTACAGTAGCAATGTTCAGTGGAAGGCAGGAAAGACAATAAACAGAAATTAAAAAAGATACACATGGCTTGTGAGGAGCTCAGAGGTAAACAGTATCGAAGTCCAGTGATGAGGGAGGACTGGGGATGAAGCAGGGGGAAGTGATGAAATATCCCTCAAGTCCACTGGCAAAAATCAACAGGTCTATAAAGATGTCACCTAGCAATTAATTATCAGGATTTCAAATCCCTCTCTCTACCTTGAAATTATGAGTAACCTCTCACAATGTTGTTTACATTCATGAATATTTTGGGGAGATGAGCATTCCTCCAAATGTTAGCAATATATCTTATAACACAGTTATTGCTGTGTACCATGGTATGTATGAATCATGAATTCATGAATCCTATATAATTTGGATAATCTTATGCTTCAGATAAAAATATAGCCTCATTTCCCTGTTACGTAGAGGCACTTTTTAACATGTAATAGTAATTTATATGTCCTTTCACTTGTGAAAGTCACTCTCAGTTCAACAACAGTATTGGGCACTGCAACAAACTATCAACTTACTTCATGGCTGCATAGTAAAAGGATCCAAACCATACAGTGGAAGTCAGAAGATGCACTGGAATCATGACTTTTCCATACTGTTTAAAAGTTTTCTTGAATCTCTGAACAAGACTAATTGATTTGTCTTGTAATGGATCAGGATCTGAAGAATCTGACTCTACAGGGCTCTGCTTGTGTGTATCAGTGGCTGAAGTCAAAGGATTTCTCTCTTCTGGTACTTTGTGAGGAGCGTCTGCTGGCTGTGATGAAAAAGCACTTTTCTTTGAGGCAAAGTGTGCTGCACCTGCATGAAGACATCGTTTAGGAGGGTCCACTGCCAAAATCACTTTGCATTCAACATTACACAATGCTGATTGTCCTTTTAAGCACTGAAAGATACTAGTGCGAGGAAACCCCAAACATGTCCCATGTGCCACTTGAGATGCAGTATGTAATAGACTCCGCTGCATTTTGATGAAGTGTAGCTGAGGTTTCTATAGAGAGGAAACAAGAAAAGAGTGAACAAATTGCATTTCAATAATCTGATTTGTTTGCTCCAATGCCACTTGAAATTCTCAAAATTTAATTGCTATTTTTCTACTTTAAATGGTTTTCCTTATCTTGCTTTGCAGAAATTACTACCTTCTAGAATTAAGCAAATAATTTTAGATATCACTTTAGCATTCTGAACTAAAACGGACTCTTTACTTAACACGCTGTGTTCCTCACAGCTAAAATGCTCATTCTATTCTCTAAAAACCTTTTAAAATGTTTAGTGCTATCTACTGCCTTTATCTGCATAATCTGGTACAGTTATTGAAAAGTTACCCTTGAAATGTCATTTCCAGTAGCAACTGATAGTTTGAGTGATACTTTGAGCCTACATAAATGTAGCATGAACTTACTGAAGTGCAATTAAAATTAATTTTTGGTGTCAATACATTTTTAGTTTTGGTATAATTTTTCATGTACTATCTTGAACGAAAAGTTCATATAGTAAAAACTCCAATGATAACAATTATTAATAATCAATAACCTTAATAGTAACAAACTCAGAACTAACAGCCTGCCAGTATACATCTGCTAGGAGGGATGGTATTGTTGAACGTCACGTGTTAACAGGAGCAAAACTGAACTGCCATTTCCAAAATATTACAATGCAAAGAATATTTTAAAACTGTTGTTAACCCAGTTAACTTTATGATTTTTAATACTTAAGTTACTCAAGTTACTCCTGAAAGTTCAAAAGAACCAGAGAGATTCCCCACAAAAGAAGTTAGGAATTTTGCTTAGCATGTATAGTGATCAAGAAGTCATTTATTTCTGAAAAAAAAGCATTCTTTGAACTAGTGAATTAAATACTAATGTCTTTCCTTTATACAATGACTGCAAGTTACAGAACTATTTTTGATTCCCTCCAAAAAGTGCCACTAATTGAGTTTATGTAACAAATGACAGTTAAGTCAGTTATATTACAACTTCCAAATTTTTCTGATGCCTTTATGTTTTTTATTATCATAATAATTCTTGATCCAAACGAGAAATCATTCAAGTTTAATTGAAACTTGACTGTCACCCTCATGTCTGCTTCCCCTTCCCTATATCTACCTTAGATATATTTCCGTCAGGTGTTTTGGTAGTAAATTTGTCTAGGTTGCTGAAAATGCTTCATCGTCAATACTTCATAACACAAGCTGAAGTTTAAAAAAAGAAGCGACCATACATACCCTTTATTACTTTCCAGATATGCAACACAAAAAGTATAATTACAGGGTTTGGATCTTCAAAGAGTCACAACTCTTCCACTAGTTAGACACCTTTCAAATATATGTCTTAAACATATTGATGACTCTGCTAAAGTAGGGGGGAAAAAAAAAAAAAAAAAAGAAAGAAGCATTTAGAGAAACAACCATCACAGCAAACTAATATTAGCAAGATTTTTGGTCAGCCTAAAACCTTGCTTTCTGAAGAAGCTACTGGTGTAAATTCTCTGGATACTGGCACACTAATGGGAGACTTTCTGTGTTACTTAGAAGTTCCTCAGCTGTGAATTACTGTTTGCTTCCAAGAGAGAAAAGTTTCATAACCCAAATGCATCTGTTGCAACATTGCTGCCTATATATTTTCTAAGTATTTTTATGTCATTATTGTGCTTGAATTAATTGCAATTACTAGAATTACAGTGTTTGATGTGGGGAAAAGATTGGAGGAATGATTTCAAACTCCCTGACAACCTCTACCTTGCATGTGAAGCACAGACACCTGCTTTTGTTGAACTCATAGTAACAGGAGGTATTGCATCAACAAGGGAATACGGGACTCTCATGTCTATGTAAGCAAGCAGTTACTCACTCCTGCCGAGTTATGAACTCAGTGGGAGCCAAGAATTGCTGCTGCTTACAGAGCAGTAGATCAGCTACAGGTACTGCCTCTCAACAAGTCAGTCCTCTGTAAGAATTCACTGGACATAGCAACTGCTTGTAGCATCTCTAGTTTTATGAGAAACAGAGATTCTTGCTGACTTCTTAGATCCAAATGCAATTGCAAAAAGTAGTGAAAACACTCAGCAAAACTCAAGTGTTAAGATGGCAATCTGTCATATGCCAGCTACCTTACTGATTTATTGAAATAACAACAACAAACTGGAAGACAACAACTACATTGCTTGCACACTCCTTTCCTGAGGGATAACACTCTCCACAGAGGACTGTTTTTCCCTCTCACTAAATGTACACAACACTGAGCATCTGCTCTAAGTAGATTTTCACAGTATCCAGCCAACAGACTCAGCAAAGGATATGTATCCTTCCACAGAAATTTGGGAGCTCTTGAGCCAGACTTCTGCTGTTCATCTGTTTTCAGTGGATGGTACCCTATTGAAAAATACCTATTTCAAACAAGCTTTGAAGATTGCCACTACACAGCATGGGGGAAACCATGCTTAGCACTCTGATTTTGGTTCATTAATGTTACTAACGGGACTCTGCATTCCAACAGCCTTGGAAGGAGACCATTCTGTACAGAAGCAAGATGAAATTGAAAAAGTATTTCTGTATTTTCCCATTCTATAGAGAGTATATATACTAGCATTTCTCAGAACACTGTTGTAGGTTTTGCTGTCCAGCACCTACTAACAGCACAAAAGTAACATGGTACCACACCTCTGATTCATTGCAAAGGCCCCAAAACATTGGGGTAGGAAATGGCTTCTGGGGGTGAGAGTTTTCCTTGACCTGAAGAAGCAACAGCTCGCTACTGTGTTCAACATGCATCAGTCAGTAGCTAACAGAGCAGTGATTAGTAAATGAGTTTCAAGGCCTCTGCTCACAGAATTAAGTGCACCATGTAAGACAAAAATAGAATGTCTTTGATTGCTTTAAAGAAGGGGAACTACCAGGCCCACTGATAAAACTTGCCATGCCTGGTTGTCCCTATATCCCCCGATAGACTTGGAACTCATTAACTAAAGGGTTTTTCTCCATGGTGGCAAGGTGCTGACTGGTCGAAGCAAAGGTTTTATAACCATCTAGGGTAGATCCTGAAAAGGTCCTGAGCACTGTAAGCACAGATGATAGTATGGTTCTAGCTGTGAGACAGCTTACTTTTTGCTTCTCCACTTTAAAAAAAGCTTTTTGCTAGATGCTTAGGTATGATAGTGCTTATATTTGTGAGTATAAACCATTTTTTTTCAAAACAAGGGTGGCATTTTCCCAATGATGCTACTGTGTTTCATAGGTATGTGCTTTATTTTACTTATCTAAATGAACAAAGGAGAGACTTTTAAAGTATCAGTAAATTGAGGATTATGCTACTATCCAGCAGCACTACAAGACTAAACGAGGCAAGTATTACAATGGTTACAGCAGGATGTAGGAAAGGCAAATGAATGACAGATTAAAATAGCATACACTTTGTAAATTAATTTTAAAGAAATTAATATTGTTAAGGGGGTGATGCGTGCAGCTGCTCAATTGTAATATTTTAATTACTTGGCTCAACATTGCAAACAAATCTTAAAACAGGACAGACAACTCAAAGTACACAATAAATGTGGTTGGAGGTCCAAAGAAATACAAACCTGTAGTTGTTTCATCCCTCTAAAGTACCAGATGAATACAGAGAAATCTGCCCTTTAAGATGCAGTTAGCGAAAGGAAGTTCCTAGTACCCTGTGCACTCAGACAGGAGAAAGTGCATGTCTGAGGATTTGAGATATGATTTTATTCTCCAAGTATAATATTTAAAGAAATTGATGGAGTTATGCAAGCCATACAATTGCCCCTGTAACTTCAGGTTGTTAAAACCACTCAGATTCTAAGGAAGTCAGGAAAGTAACCTACATGTTATCCACAATTGCACCTAGTGACTTTCCAAAAGTTGTTTCTTCATTTTAAAGTATTTTTTTCATGCCATTGGCACGATGCTTCAAAGGTACAAAAAAGGACAGAATCTAGATGCTTCAGATACCAAGGTGGAAAAGCAGCTCGTCTGTGGCATGAGAATTTTGTGGGGGGTGGGGGTCAGAAGGCATTTTAAAGCATCTTAAGTTTCTACATTAGCTTTCTCTTAAAAATGCCACAATAAAACAAACAAAAAAGAGAGAGATGTCTGAGGACAAACATTGCTGTTCTCTGCTGTAATAATCCCATGTAGTCAGTGACCGAACACATACCAGTAGGACAAACTATGAAACAATATACAAACACTTTCAGGATGAGGTCTCCTCCTCAGTGCTGTCATATTCTGGCTAACTATTTAGTAGTATCTCCAGCAGGCTGTAAACTGAGCTGAAGAGATCTTGACTGTTCAGGACATACTCCTGGTCAGACATTCATTTAGTTCCTGAAGGCACGTCTGTCTCATGGCAAGCTGTTAAACAAGCCCTCTGATGTAAAGGGAGTGCTCTAGTGGCCTCTTGAGGAAGAGTGTAGAGCTTCCCATTTCAGTGTGATGGGTTTTATTTAGCAAACTTTCGTTATAATTGAGATCAGCTTTGGCACAGACCTGATGTACTGCAGGAGCACCTTATCTCTTGCATTTGCTCTGCTAAACCTTTCCCTTCCAGTGATTACTAGGAAGTAGAGATTAGACTTACTTTTGTTCCTGAGGACAACAAAAGTTCAGGTTCTTTTAACATCAGAGTTGGTCTCTGTATCTACCACAAATTCATGGTTTTAGATGTGTGCTAACATTTTTTGCAAAGAAAACCAACAGGCGATCATTGTAAAACACAGAAGTAACAAGCCAGGCCAAAATAGGTACAGCAAAGGCTGCTGTGGATATCTCCTGTTGGAGGAAAGAGGAATCATACCAGAGATGCTGTCAGATGAAACTTTCATCAGGATAACTTGTATAAAAAGTTACCCTGTTAGTTATGTTTAAGCTACCAGAAAAATTAAAAGACAAGAATGAGGGTGGATATAAGATGGCAAAAACTTTAGTGTAAGTTCTTCTACAAAAGAGGTCAGAAAGCCTCTGAGGGAACTGTGGGTATAGTATATGTAGACTACATTGTTTTATTTTCTTAGTTCTACCAGAAGCACTCTGGACACAATATGTAAATATGGATGAATATAAAGCACTTTTACATGTTCTGTTACCATTTAAAAAAAAAAGAACATTAATTATACCACAGGAAAGTTCCTAATGAAAATCCATGAGCATTTTTTACTCCCAAGGCACCTTTCTATGAAACCAGAGAATTAATCTGCATTTTTGCCATTTTTAGTGTAAAATCAAGAAAACTTTGATAACTGTTGTATATACAGAAGAATTTTGAAAGGACACAAACCAAGGTTTCAGAAATCCTTTCCAGCTCACCTTTCAGACTGCATAAAAAAAGAAAATGTACATAGATCTCATCCAAACAGCTCGCTTTAATGAAAAATCCCACTGTACTGCTTGTATTTTTATTAAACATAATTTATTAAAAAAAATAATCAAAGCTTGGTTTCAGATTGAACTTGTTATTTTCAAGAATTTATTGACAGTATATTAAAAAAATCATCTTGCCAAGCTAATAAATCAAAACAAGAAAAATACAACTGAACAGAAAACATATATGGGCTGCCTAAAAAACTGGGAATACATTTTAAGATCATTGTAATAATAGTGCAATACATGCAAAGCATCATTGTTTTTCCTAAACTCGATGTAAAATATAAGTATAAACCTCTTAGTAACTGCAATGGTTCAGCATATGATGCAGTCACTATCCATGGATGAGAAAAGGGCAGTGTATAGGGTCTTTTTATTCTTTGTATTAGTATTTTTAGAGAGCAATAACAAGCATTTAGAATTTGTATTTTGACCTTTACTACTTTTGCAGTGTTCCCAATGCAATCTGTTATTCATTCTAAACTAAGAAACTTGGTTATAATTTGAAGTTTGGGCATCACTAGCTCTCTAATCTTGTCTACCATTTAGGGCCGCCTAAAAAAAACCAACACATTTTAAGTTACAAGGAGGAATGCAAAATAAGTCATGGTGAAATTTATTAAAACCTTGGTAAAAAAATCATGATGTTAAAACAAACGAAGCTCTTGTAGACAAACTACCCTAAAACATTAGCCCCATCCCACCTCCATCATGTCTAGTCTCATATAATATCTTCACTTAATAAATGCTGTAATTTTAAAATTGATCCTAATACAGAGGTTCAATACTCATAAGTGGAGACAAACCAACAATTTTTTTACCCTTATTTTATTTAAACTACTCTGGTTCATGCTAAAACAAACTTAGAGAAACCTAGAAAACAGAATGAGCCCCCATAGGGTTTTTACACTGCAATCGTCACTACTACAATTTTCTGATACTTAAGTATGAGAGCACAACAAAAAGTATTCTTGCAGATGTTGATAGAGTTTGAACATTGGATTTAGAAGGAAAATAAAGCAGAAACACCTAATGCAATGCCCATGTGTTGAGTTATAGATCTGGAATGCTACAAAGGAGGTTTAACAGCTGATCTGCATCCGATCAATGACAGTGGTATCCCCATTTTCCTTTACGTTGGAAGGCATTAGATCTTAAGCTTGCACACAGATAAGCATTATATAAAAGTGTAGATGTTTTCTCCTTAATTCCTCAATAAAAAAGTATCACAATCATTTGTAGTGCTTTGTGCTCTTCAGAACTATGTTTTTAATAACTGGTGCTCATC